CATTATACACTACTTAAAACCTCAATCAGGAATTGTAGAAACAGCACTATGGCTACATGAGGACTATAGCTGAGATTACTTACAGTGTCCTGTAAGATGACCCAGTGCATGTTTTAGTGGCTACTTTGTTATTCAATAAAAAAGAAGGTTCTTTTTTATATATTGTGTACCGCTGATTCCAAAACACATGGCATGGCAACAAATGAACTTTTTCAGGCTCAATCAATCAAAAGCTTATTTCTCCTAGTCACATTTAATTACTGACTTGAAGAAAGTAAAATATTTAGTTGATTTTAGGGTCCACAAGTAACTAATCTGATGAGATGTATAAAACATCCACTCAAATGCAGAATGGAGACTTAACCTAAGACCTAATCACATCTAATGCTGGCTTTAAAAGAGACCTCTTGGCCCTCGAAGCGTCACTATCGTTTTCTTTCAGCTGGGGAGCATGGTGAGAGAGTCAGTGAAAGCTCACTATATAAACACCACTCGGTGACTAGAAAGTGATCCATCAATGTGCACTGCCATTGTAATGCACCTAAGACTGATTAAGTCAAAGCCAGCTAAATCATCTGAATTCCTGCTGTGCCTTGGCCCGGCTTGCTCTCTAGATTAAGATGAAAAGGCCAGCACATTCCTTGTTTGATAATTAATGATGTATCTGTAACTGATGATTGTCTAATCTTAAAACAGTGACTTAAGCTTAGAACTAATCATATCGGGATCATTCTGTTTACTGTATATACTATTTTGTCTGCATAAGAGGCAAAGTCTTTGCAACAAGACTGCAGAGTCTCTCTGTCCGATTAAAAGGAAGTCATAAATTATGATTGCAAACTTGATTTGAATCATAAGTGAAACAAACAAAGTAAGCAGGAAAACTTCTTGTTATCGCTCAAGAAAGATGGAAAAATGGAGGCAGTGGCACCACGAAGCCAGGAATGAAACTGATTTCAATCTGATGACCTCTGATCTCATTTTTCCTGTAATCTGACAGGTCATTAAAGGGTGCACTGCTGGTCGTTAATCTAGCAGTAAGGGACATATACACATCAGTATTTCCCGCTGAAAATCCAAGAAGCTGATTTACAGACAAAATTCCACTCACACACAAACGTCACTTCTTTATATGGCAACTATGACAACAACACATGGTATTTCTACGAAAAGATCAATCAGAAGGAAAGACAACCAAGCTAAAAAAAGGAGACAAACACAGTAGGAAGTTGATTGATATGGAAAGACTACAACTAGCTTTTGTAAAACTTCCTAAGTTTCTCATCAGAAGAGAGATTGGCTGTTATTAGTTGACAGAGGAAGGCAAAAGCAAATAAAGTTGTGATGGACTGGCTACAACTCAGAAGCTGGTGGAGCAAGTATGATCACTATTGTAACACTGGCTTCATAAGCTATACTGAAATCTTGATGGAAGCATCAACTCTATGGCAACAGGACTCTTCTGATTAACCCTCAATACGAAGGGTCCTGAGAAACAGGCTTCGAGTCTAAAGGCCTGAGGTCTCACCCTCTGGCATACTGAAGGCTTACTCAGACACTGCCTTCCCTTACAAGGTCTTTTTTTTAGTAGTTTGTAATGGAAAGTGAGACAGCATGAATAAATCCATGCAATTTACATGCAGAGTAGTGAGGAAGTTAACAGGATCACTGTCAGTCAGACAATGAAGAAGATATGACTTCTTGGCTGTCCCAATACACAAAGACCTTCACAATCATTTAAATGTTTTAATGAATTTAAGATGATGTTTCTATATACTGATATTAAAGTGTTTAACATTATTCTGGACTATGAAACAAAATGAATTTCTCAAAAAATGCTAGAGGACAAAGATGGGAAAGCGAGACAGAAGGAAGGGTTTGGGAGAACAATTGAGAGGTTCACCTCATGAGTGAGAAGCAGTCATGGGTCGCTGGGTGAGATTAATGGTGCATGTCATTGGGGCCTCATGTAGTGGCCTCCATATCTGTCTCATTCCCTCTGGCTAACAGATACACCCATCACTTAGGAATCAAAAACAACGTGGCTGAAAACAACAGCAGCTTTCACTCATGGGTAAAAGCTGACAAAGCTCTCCACCAGGATTTAGTTCAAGTAGTAACACTCTCACTTGCTAATGAGTTCTGGACAGCAAAAAAACCCTAAAAATTTGTATGCTAGTAATACACCAACATGCAGTTGTTGATAAATAAAATGTCAAAGTTTTTTTTTTACATATTCTGAGTAAGTGAGAAATATTGTAGTAAAAAGTGTTAACCAACACAAGAAAAATTGCTGGCAGTAACAAGTTAGAAAGCTGTACAGTGAGTTATAAATATTGGGTTTAAAATGGAAAAGTAATGGAAATACTCCTCTTCTGATTAAACCCTTATCAAAACATTTTGATATCATTTATCAAAAAAAGAGCAAACTTTTTCTTGTTCAGCTGACCAGACCCCATTAGCTGACACTGATTCCGCACCGATTGATACTTTAGAATAGCATGACACCAGCCATCTCTCCTACCCTATAAAAGTTAGTAACTAAATACATTTGTTGCTTAATGGATCTCAGCATGTCATTCATCAGCTGTGATTTAATGCGAGTGGAGAGCACAGTGAGATGGAGGCCAGGCTCGGAGTAGAGATCAGGGGCATGGCAGTTTTACAAGATCCCCTGGAGTGCACAAGCGCTCTCCATCATCCAGCTGGGGTGTCCCACTGTGTGAGACTTATGGCCCAACACTTCAGCAGGGACGTGGCTAATGCAGGACGGCATGTGGGTTAAGACAGGGCTTTGGGGTCCCCTTCTTTTCAGTAACAGCTGAAATGGTTCATCCTTTATGGAGTGCACACCACTGCTCATACAGATATATAGGTAGCGGTGACATGCCTCACATATGGAGGAGTAACATGTACCCATGTGATTGCCTCTGCAGAATTAGAAACGTATGGAGCTCCCATGGTGGTCCTTAAGGAGTATAATTCAATCAAAAGGGATCATCCTGCCCTTACTTTCACGTTCCTCGCTGTATGGGGACAAAGAGTAAGAAGAAGACAAATAGCTGGTTGAAAGAGAAAGGACGAGTCAGAACCACAGGTTTGGGCTAATTTAGGGCTATATAAATGATGTGGATGGTGAACTTTAAACTATGGTGACCTTTGACAGTAGTGGGCAGGCAGGGATTATCTTCTCTTCTCACTGTGAGAGGTAAGATGAGAAGGCCAGAATGGAGGTGATTCACAGCACCATGATGGAGAGCAAGAGTGCACTCCTTCATTTAAACAAGACAGAGGGGGAAAAACCCTTGCAAAAAAAAGGTTAAGGTACTTATTCATTCAAGAGATTGTTTTGGTGATCCATTAAAAGTATCTAGTGGATTCAAGCCTCTTTGGCTAATTTTGATTCAGGATCAGGTATGTATGGCTGAACAAACTTTCTTAATATTTCTAAGCTAAAATTATTTAATTAATGTTTTTCAATACGTTTAATTCGTGTCTACACAAATCATTAAAGTAACTGGTCAGTATTCCATAAAACATCATCAATAAATACTCATTCATATTATTTTTTCCTTTTTTTAATACACAAATCTTTTGTTGTGCTTTGTTAATCCGAAAGACTCTTAGGCGTTATCTTTTCCAGTTAGGACGGCAACCTAATCAGCATATCCACTAGCACGGCCTCCGGTCCCCTCTGCTCCCTCCCTTGTTTGCAGTGGGTGTTATTCTAGTGTTAAATGAATGCTCAGGGTCCAGTGGAGTCCATGGGGGCCAGGCTAATTTGCTGTGGCAGTCAGGACATAGTGATGGAATGTGAATGTCAGCAGGCTCTTTATTTACGCGCTATATAAAACCGACTAGTAATTAACACCGGGGTCCCTCCCGCGCTCAAGTGTAATTGACTGTTTCAAAGGACCGCCACTTCATATTCCAGAGTGTGTATTAAAATTACGCTTTCCATATTGCCTACTCCCTTTAAGGATAAGGGTCAGCACTGCTGGCACAGGCACTCAAACACATCAGATTTCTTTATGAGGACATTAACATTTTGACATATTAATAATGAGTAAGTGTATTAAGCTAGACCTGTGAGGGACCTTGTGCCATCCTCAGGAGGTGCCGTTTTCTTTCTGCTGGGTGGTTTTATTTCTGTTGAGGAGAATGCTTTTGTTGGGCACTTTAAAGTGCTTAATTTGAAAAAGAACCGCATGTAATTTATCCAACAGTAAAACAGTATTACATGTATGGATCAGTTTGGATTCGGTGGAAAAAAAAACAAATCCAAAATAAGATGGAAACAAAGGTAATAGAGAAATAATACAGAAATATTGTAATATCAAAATCCTTTTTCTCACGTTTTTTTAGCCCTGATACCCCAATAACGCTGACTTCAGGTAGTACAAATACCTCATGACTGCTCAATGTTATACAACTACCTACTTGACCACTGGTGCCATACAGAACGCATGTCGTCAACTGTATCGCCCTAACATGTGTCCATATGGTCTAAACAGCCTCCTTGAGAACATAAACTTAATGAGAGAATCATTTGCATTTGTTAATTTGGATTAATGTGTGTTAATTGATTTCTGTGTATTTTAATTAACACAAGTTATAGTTGGCCACAGTTTGTGCTCAGAATGCAAATTAGTTGTGTTTTGCCAATTAAATGTCCTCAGAGGAACATGCAAACCCTCCATGGAGTAATTAGTGTTAATTGGCTTTAAAACTGTAATTAACATGGTTTATGCGAAGCAGCTTACCTTGTTTGTCAATAGGATTAAGCATGGAGTAATGATCAAAAAGTATTTGATTCAGCCATCATCCTAGGTCATGTCTGATGCAAAAAAGAAACAATTAAAATTACACAACCAATTAATTTATTCTGTAATCACAGATGTAACACACTGCAATTGGGTAACAAAAACATTTAAGTGTAATCTCTAAAACAACTGATTGGTTAAGATGTGATATATTTAACTTGAGATGTTCCTTTTAATTTAATGTTTCGAAAGCTCCGAAACCTCAGATTTCTCTACCCTCCGTCTTTTCTGTGGTCTGAACCCTTCAGAGGCGAGGAACTGGTCAATTTTTGCAATCTGGGCCCTGATGTCTGACTGATTATGGTCCTCTTTCACTAGAAGTGTGGGCGTACTTCCCTCAGACACAGGCCGAGACACTTTTCCCAAGCTGTGGAGTCTGGGAGGGAGAGTAGGAGTGCAGTCATGTTTCAACCCATTACCCACAGACCGAGCCACTGGGCTGCCTAGCTGAGCTGAACCGAAGGAGATGGGAACTCTGTTCTCCTGCAGAGAGAAACAAAAATGGCTATAAAGTGTAATAACACTGCACTGATTTAATTCTTGCTGAGTACAAATAAAGCAACTCCATTATTCTACAATTTTAGGCCTATTTACTGTTTTGTTACAAAATTAACATCACGTATACTAGGCTGTTTTGCGTTCTTGCTGATGCAAGTTATAACGCTGTATAATGCTGCTGATATAGAATGATAATCGACCAAATATTAGTGATCAGTGACTAATTTTTAAAACGGTGAGAGCCCATCTTTTTTTTTTTATTAGGGAAAATGCATTCATGTCACTTTCTCCAGACATCAGGTCCTGGGTCTCATAAAGCATTCAGTGTTGTTATATTATCTGTGAGGCACATATGTGTGTTAGTAGTTAGTAGTAGTAGTAGTATAGTAGGTAGTAATCCTTCTATAAATGCTTTAAGGGGAATTCCACAGATTTTTTCAAAAATTTAGCCTAATTCAATTGTTGAGATGTCAACATCATTCAGAATGTTCAGATGTTAAACGATTCACTTTAGGGAAACTTACTGACTCTCTACAGTAGTGAAGATAGGAACGTGGAGATGCAAAGTCTACAATGTAAATATAGCCATTTTATTTACTGTGAAAACCACCAGTAAAAATACGTTTTCTGAGTTTTTATATGTAATGTTGCACATGCTAAAACAGTGGTAAACCTGTAAATAAAATCACTATTTTGCCTTACAATGCCCTGCATGTACCTCTAAGCAATTAATGTGTTTTAAAAAAATAATTTTAAGCTAAAGATTTATCTCAAAACTATTTCAAAACAATGTCTCAGACATCAGGCAGCGCATTTGTGAACTTTCCATGTAATTACACTTTGTGAGTTAGCTTTTAGAGGCATTAAACTCTTGAGACACCTGGTTCCTATCACCACCACTGTGAACAACTCTGACTTTATTAATTTATTAAGCTTCTTTGGAACAAAGCATTTCAAATCAAACTACCACTTAAAAAGCTATTTCTGAAACATATTTGAAAAATCTGTGGAATTTTCCTTTAAGCCAATTTAGAAACCTTTTGGACAGGCTGGTTAACAGTCATTTGAAACTAAGCATGCTTATCAAAATATCTTGTTTGCATTTTCTCTTATATTCCCAAATGCATTTAAAACCTTTGGTGAAAAACTCTGAATTTAAAACTTTAAACCTAAACATGTTTAAAACCTAATAGAAAACTTCCACAACTAAATTCCATAAATGAAAGACACCCAGGAACAAGACACAAATGAATGTTCAAACATAGTTACAGACACTTTAGATTTCATGAGCTCTTAGGTTTGCTCCATGTAGCCTCTTTGTTCCCCTTGGACTTGGGCTACATGCCAGTGATTTATGATCTGTGACTTTTTCCTGCTGTTTTCTATCAACATTTCATTGAGAAAAATGCTACCATTTCACCCCAGTGAAATACGTTTGGGAATGAGAGTTGTCTTAAAGCACTTGTATGTATCTGGGGCTCTATGTGCCTCATAAGTCAACTCACTATGGCCTTCTCCTGTCTGCACATTTGTGAAACTTACTTTCTCAACTGAGATTTCAGAAAATGTCTGCTTGATTGCATTCCATTCTTCATGGTGATTAGTCTTTTGGTCAGGAAGAATGTTTGAAACATTCAACTTGTCAAGAGGCTGGGTAATTACTGAAGCACCTGAGTGACAAGAGGACAATTAGTGCCCAGATATTCTGAGACTGTCAAGGTTTACGTCTGTTGTTCAATAGATTGTTTGGTAACACTTTCTCTTAACGGTCCACTGTAGAATCTGTCTAGATGCTTAACTTGTCTTCACTTTATATTCAACAAAATATCAAATAATCCCACCTTAACTATAACTAACATTAACCCTTTGTCTAAAACCTAAACTCTACCCTAAATCCTGGTCCTATTCCTAACCCTAACACTGGTAATAATCAACTGAGTGCTAGCACGTTAAGCATTGATTTATACACTATAGCGCGCCATCAAAATAAAGTGTGATGCATTATCAACAAAACACGAACTTACCTCGATTTCTTAAGTTGTGCCTTGAAAATAAAGGTGTACTCAATGTTGTACAAAGCTCCTGGAAGCCAGAGGGCAGCACTGATTTCTGCTCTGAAATTATGGGACTTGAAGATGCTGAGGAATTATTTTTGCTTTCCACTGGTAAAACACCTGCAACACTCTGTGAGCATTTCAGCCGTGTGTTCAGTGTTTCTTTTTGAGACATCCTTTGGTCAAACGATCTGAATCTATTGTTGTCATCAAGGTAGAAAGGTTCTGTATCATTAATTTGCATTTCCATATCATTTAGGTGGTGGCCTTGTTTTGTCAGTCTATCACTGGATAAAGCATCTTCCTGCAAGTTTGATATCAGGGGACTTGGGAATGCATCTGCTTTCTGCTGGTCTCTCACGATCTTGGCAGATGAGCCAGCAATACGATTATCTTCTCTTTCATTTCCACCAGGATCTTCTGCTAAATTACCAATGATATCCACAGTGCTTGGAGAGGACAAGCTAAGATGGCTAGCACAAGTGTTCAACTCAGCCTCTGGAATGGATTTTGAATTAGTTTTTTCTGCATTTTTGCTTATATCTTCTAATGCCTCCTGGTACATTCCACTTCTTGACCAAGGGCTCTCCTGTAGTTGTGAGACCTGATCATTAGATTGTCTAAAGGTTGTATCAAGAACTGTGGCAGCCAAGGGCAAGGCTTTCTTATGAGGAGAGGCTGCTGGTTGAGGTACAATTTGTTGTGGTGGACTTGAATTAGCTGCATCTAACTGTTTGTGCTTCATTTGACTTTTAAACACATCTTTTTCTTGTAGCAAAGAGTTTGTATCACTTTCCTCAGGAAGTTTTGGTCCTTCTGTGTGAAGTTCACTATCATTTGGTAAGACACTTAAAGGGCTGTTTGTCCCAGGTGCTGTGGTCTGAGGCTCAACTTCTTTTTTGTCAGCGGCCTGAGATGTCTCGGATGTGTGTTTATCTGATGTCTGGTGCTCTCGCATTTCAGAGACACCCAGACTCTGCTCCTCTGGCCTATCCCTTGATTCAGACATCAATGGGTCACTGGCCACCCTATAAACAGACCTGGTTTTGTGTTCTGATAGCTTGGTGAGGCAGCTGTCTGTGTAACTTTGCACTACACTCGAAGGGCAACCACTATCAAACGTTCCTCGGACTGGTGCGTTTTTAATGACGCTAGTTGCCTGTTTGACAACTAGATCTATGTCTGTATTTGTCACGAATACATTAGCTCCACTGATGTTCTCACTCCTCTCTGACTGATTTGGAGCCAAAGCATCGAGACCTTGTGAAGACGGAGGCACAAGAACAGATTGATCTGTCTGTGAATAAACGTTAACCTCACCACTTTCACCATGAAAGCAGCCATCTTTTGCTGTTTCTTGACACTCGGCAGTCCTTTCATCTATGCAAGGAAATTAAATTCATGCATCATTACAAGTTGAAAAATAAGAAGTACAGGTAAGCTTTCTTGATAAAGATATTCTGTCAGCCCAGGAACTCACTCCCCCTGCATCACATCATTCTGTGCAAAAATATTAGTTTTAACGGCGCCCAGCTTGGCTGGAGAACAGAAGCTTACATTCCTCTCACCTGGAATGTCTTCAACCTCTTTGCGGTGTCTCATTTGTTCATAGTCGTTTTGAGGACTGATTTGACCAACTTCAGTGTCTAAAGATGCACCATTACTGAGATTGCTTGCTGTGGTCAGATGGACATCATAGTTTATGCTCCTAGAAGAATCCTTTTGGATGGTGAAGCTATCCTCCAAGCCATTCTAGAAGCAGATAGTGAGTTCATTATGCCACATCTGTCCATTTGATCAATAATCTTAGCAAAACTCACTAGAGGATCCATTATTAGCATACAAAATTGGGTCATACTACCTAAATATCAAACAACTGAACCACTGTTCCGAAGTCCTTGTAGTCCAATTGGGTTTGAGTTTGCATATATGAATAAAACCTACAAGTTACCAAATTGGTCTATTGCTTGGTGCTTTACAACATCCTTGAAGCTCAACCACATCAGAATGAAGCTTAAATCTATAAACTTAGATAATTTAACCTTAACAGTACTGTACAGTTTACCTCTACATAAGGTGTATAACATCCATACCTCTAAGCCATGAATAATTTTGGCTTGGTGCATTGCATTAGAGGACAGTTGTTGATGTTTTTCATGGAGATTATCGTATGCTTCTTTCACAGCCCTCAGTTCTTCCTGATCTGCTTGCATCTTTGCTTGCAGCGTCTTTATCTATTTGACAACACCACAAGCACCAAATTATTTTTCCTTAGTTTAACAAAAATATCTGTAATTTTTAGACTTTTTATATGACTATTTTTAGAACAATGTTTATATTTATATTTATTTTTTGTAGAACAATAAAACAGTTTTGTAGAACTACCTCTTTTTCCAAAGTGAGTCTGGAATTTTTGTACTCCTCTATCACCTGCATAAGGCTGTCCTCTTTTTCTTTACTCCTCTCTTGGCTCATTTCATGTTCTCGTTTAAGGACCTGCAATTAAATTAATCACCTGGAAATTTTTTAATGCAAAAATAAATTTTTATATGTTTATTCAACCTAGATAGAAAATTCTTAACAGACTGAAAGGCCCATGCAAATCAGCAGGGTTTTGTCACGTTAATAAACGTTTTAATCTGTGAATAAATGTGTGAATTAAACAAAGGCATGGAGGCTATAAAAGTGCAGGGAGAATAAACACACTTACAATTATTGACTTGCAATTCATGCTTCCTAAATGTGCAAATGTGATATACAATGCTCTCAATTATTTTTTTTATGAGCTATTGTTATTTATTTCTGTTCTTAGTACATTTTAACCATTATCATTTTAATGTGAGATAAAATAGTCAAAGTCAAGTGTGGCACAAGGTAAATATGTGATTTATTATTAATTTTTTTTTTAAGTTTTCATAGGTATCGATTTTGATTGGTGAAGCAAGTTTAATATATACAGTATACAATATCTCAGAAGAGATGTTATGGACTTCCATTTGTTTGTTTAACCATTTCCAAATCCAGTATTATTTGTAGTTATCATCCAATACCCAGGCTAATCAATGCTTCATTCAGTTCAATCAGGTGTGCTGGTAATAGAATTTAACAAATCTATGCAATAAATGTATGGCTGGAGGCATCAGTGAGAAATCTGGAACCAAACCTCTGCTCTTCTAACAAGCTCACAACATCTTATCTAATGGTCTTTAATGTTTTTATTGGCAGTTACTGCCCAGCTAAATGTTTTTAAACAATTGGCTTAGGTGGCTGACTTTTGTATAATACTATAAAGATCTAGGCTTCTTCTTGACGTCACTAACTTGTGTTTGCAAAGTTACAGGAAAATACTAAAAAAGTGGTTATTACAGAACTTATATTCAAATTGTTTGCAAATAGTTACAGAGAAACACACCATTAGTAAATATAAACACACACACATACAGGGAGGGGCAACTGATACAAAATGATGCTGTTTTGAGAGAGACTGACCTGGTACTCCTCTGTGTGTGTGAGGAGCTGCTGTTCGGTTCGGCAAACAGCCTGGGTCTGAGTTTGCAGTAGCCACTGGGCATGCTGGAGAGAGCTCATCAGCTTCTGACACACATACACATAGCCCACTGAGTGAGACGTATTACCGGCTTAAGGCCAGGATTACTGAGCAATGTCACCACTGCAATTTCTTTTAAATAGTATGCAAAAAACTAAACTCTGTGAGAGAGGGAAAAAAGTACCACAGTATCCGTTTCTGTATTATTCTTGTCAAAATTTATAATTTTGTATACCTTTCCAGAGTTGCACCTGGAAAAACATAAACCAATATTTCAAGCTAATAAACTGACCTGCTTCTCTGCCAGTTCCACAGCATTTTCATTTCTGAGTTTCTTATTCAGTTCCTTCTCCTACAAAAAGGAAGGGATGTACAAATAGTGTAGTCATCTGCACTGCCCCCCTCAAGCTGTTAAATCCCTTAAGTTTTCGATAATGTATATATAAAAAAGGTACCACAATAAGCCTTTGTTGAAGCTCCTGTATTTGTTGTTCTCTCAGGAGACAATTAGAACTCTCCTCTCCAGATCTGTGGATTGACGCAACTTTGCATTTTACCATTTCACCGTTAAGCCGCTCCACATCCTTCACAACAAGATAAAAAGAGTTTGAACTTTAATGACCCATTGAATATATCATATTCAGTTCAGAGTATTTTAAACAATCATGGCTAGTTAAGCTGCAATAATACATGCATTGTCTAGTAAACTAATACCAGTAAACTCCATTGTCTAGTGAACTAAAATGCCAAATAAATAAAAAATGAGTTTATTTAAAACAATACCTTTTTTAGGGCAGCAATTGTAGATTCTTGTTTTTTGTTTATGGATGCAAGCTTTTTGTTAAGTCGCACTGCCTCCTCCACTTGAAGCAAAAACAAAGAGACTATATATATATATATATATAAGAAGTGATGTCATTGTTTTAAAACTTTCAGTTCACTCTACAGTTTTAAAATGTGCACTGATAAACAATCTTGGACATAATACAATGATATAAAATGACAATAAATTTAAAACATATTGCTGCTGTCCAAAAAGAAAAAAAAACTGAACTAGTATCTATTTTTTTATTTCGGTTTCTACTTTTCTACATCGTTTGAGCACAGCCTCTGTCCTTTACATTGTGTAAAATTTCATGATGATTTGACCAATAGAAATTGCTTGGAATATATTTTTACTCATTTTTCATTGAACACTATTCTAGAGCTAATGAAAAACATAATACTTACAATACATAGTAATGGGAAAATGTCTCTTAAATTGATGAATGCCTTATCATTGCTTTCATAAATACTGATACCACTGTTTGGAAGTAGCAGATAATAATGTTTATTATACTATCTGCTCAACATAAACTGTATTTAAACATGGGTTGATGACTAAATAACATTCAAGAATGACTATCTTTAACAGACCCTGTTTCCCAATGCTGAAATTTACCAAATATCTCAAAAAGGTATAATGATCTAGCACGTTCTTTGTAAATAAATTATTACAAACAAACAAACAAACAAACAAAGAATAATATAAAATAAGATCCACCCTTCTTACTATGTGTATACAGAGAGCTCATATTTCAGAATATATTCTAATTTGCTGAGCTTTAATATTTCGGCCTGGGCATGTCACTGACACTTTATTTTATTAAGGCTGCATTTGACAGTGATAAACGAGGCGTTTGTCTCTGATGCCTGGCATACCGTTCTGCTCCAGTTTCCCGTGGGCTTGTTTCACCATGGCGCATTGTCTTGTGACGGCCTCGAAACGCTTCTCCACCTCTCCTAGCTGATTCAGATGTCTGTCCTTCACTTGAGTCTGCAGCTGCAACTTCTGCTCCTGCAAAGTATTTGCACTTTACTCCCTCTGCAGTGAAATTATTTTACATTATGACAAAAGTAAGACCAAATCACATGGTCTTATATTTATTGAGCATCTTGCACCAAGCATACTGATTTAGAGTATGGTTCTTCCATATAGCGACTCATTCAGAAAGGCTTATATAGAGAAATCTGGCCATGCAGGCTTGTCTCTCTGGGTCTGAAGACCTTTGTTTAACATCTTGGCTGAATGCTTCTTCTCCCCGTCAGATAAGAGTTCCATTTTTACGAATGCCTGAGGGGCTTTTATGCGAACCCCCCTTGTCATTACTGTTTGATTGTCTGTATCAAACAGATTTTCTCTCCGTCACTTGAAAGGTTAAGCAGATTGAGGCTCCAATATAAAATATTTTAATAGTGGTATTTTCTCTGCTGCACTGGCAGTTCAAGTGTCACACACACTCCCTATCCGTTACTCCTGATGAGCCGCTCTCTCCTCCCCACATCCTCCTCTTTAATTCCTCCCTCTCCCACCCGCCTCTGTCAACAATTTATATAATTGGAAATCCTTACCAGCTCGCTTAATTTCTTCTCCAAACTGTACTTGAACAACTGTAACACAGTAGAAAAAGAAATAAAAGTTTTGTTTAGAGCGTTCTTCCCTGTCTCTAAGGACAATGCATGACTTCTCAATGAAGGATACCAATTTTGGAGAGACTTAGCCAGGCAGTAAATGCTGTAACGACTGGGAGGAATGATTTGGGGGAAAAAATCTCACCAATATTATGAATGCAGTTTAAACTTAGATCACTTTCTATAAATTAAGCTCCAGGCTTTTTTTCACAGAGAAGACCAGCACATGTTTTTCAGTCTTACATTGAATGCAGTACGCCAGACTGCCAGTTCACAAGCTCGGTGTTATTAGGTTACATTTTTTCACTAAAAACACTGAATAATGTAACACATAAATAAAATTTTCTTGGGTGCATAAAAAACATTTGCACAGTACAGTATATATTGAACATGGTTCACCAATCAACATCAATACCTATGAGAACTCTAAAATAAGAATCTTTAATAAGAAATCACATATTTACCATGTGCCCCACTTGACTATTTTATCTTGCCCTAAAATGCTAGTGGTTAAATTGTACTAAGAACAGAAATAAAGCTTTTGTGATTTAAAAATTTAACTTTTCAAATTGCGATTTTAATTAAAAAACAATTAATTGTCGAGCTCTAAAATAGTGACAGCATTAAACTTGTGCTAAAACAAAATGTTTGCATGTGTGAATAACTGGATGGCCAACTACTTTAACAAAATTTACAATCAATTATGAGTCAACACAGAAAATACATTGATAATTTAGAAATTCTATACTTCGATTACAGTGCATTGTAATCAAGTCCATAACACTTTATTTTCCTGAATGCAGATTAAGTCCAAACCTAGACTAAAAAGAATTTCCAATGGTGATACACTACTGGCACCACGATTCAGATGAAGACTAAGCTAAATCCATGTCTGTGAAATGTTCCCCAAATGTAATAAGTTCACAGCCCTACCAAATAAACACTTAACAAGCACCATTACAGCTAAATCGGACAATTGAACAGAGGGTGTGATGAACCATACAAGAACACATATATCACCGACATTGTGCGATTTGTCTGACAACACCAAATAGACCTACACAGACACCCACTCAAAAGGTCAGCCATGAGATGAATTTTCCCACTGTTGACTTAAATTACCCAAAAGGCACACTGGAAGAGATGGGAAGAGTAGTTTTGAATGGGCACTCAAAACAAGACTACTGTGTTAGAGTGCAGGTTTACCTGCAGCAGCTTCAGTTCTTCTTTCAGACTGGTGATCTCTTTGTCCTTCAATTCAGCACTCAGCTGGTGCTTCCCCTTTCACGTTAATTAGCATATCATTAGTCACATTAGAGATCATTTGCATATTACAATATTTGTGTGATTAAATGAAACATTAGTGCAGCATTAGAGAAGAAAAACCACATATATCTACCTTCTCTCCCTCAATTCCTCTGACCTGAGCCTGAAACTTAACACAGAAATTTAACATATTATTATGAGTTGGCTTTATGTCTTCATGTTCACTATGGAAGTAAGCATCATACGTGAATCACTGAAATTGTAAGATAAGACCTTTATCTACCTGCTTTTTAACAGCTGCAAGTGATTCTGAATGTTCTTTTGACATCCTGTCAACCTGACTTTGTAAAGACTCCTGAAAATTTGCACAAATTGTCAAAGAACTAAATGTCTAAATCTAAATGTTAGGAGAGCAATATTTTTTTTCTATGCAAGGCTTTAAATTTGTGTATTTTTAATATATACAGACTATTGCCAAGTTACCCACCTTCTGCCACTCCAGTTCTTGCTTCTCCAGTACAAGTTTACAAATTTGAGCCTCATACCGCACTTCAGAATCCTGAACGGAAATTATGCAGAAATGGATATTTTGAATTAATGACCTCCGGCAAAGTGTAAAGACTAAATGTGTTTATGATTAATATTCAAAATTTTAGACGAAACTACACACAAGCCCCATCCTAAATAAAAAATAAATAAATAAAATTCAGAAGGAAAAAGCTATACACAAATCACATTTTAATGACTCACGCAGCATGTTTGGGAAATCACTGGTGCATTAAAGAGAAGATATTAGCACAAAGCCTTCCTTGTCCTCCTTCAGTAAAGGTAAAAGTAAATGGCTTCTTACGAAGGGACTTTTTATATGTATGTAGGAGTTTATTTATATTTCCCATTAAACTGTGCTACCAGCATAGCATACTCGAAAATGCACACTAGATAAAGCTGTTAACTGTTGGCAAAGAGACAATAAATTCAATAGAGATTTTGCCCAGCAAAGAGCACATTAAAGTTGGTAATCCATGTAAATTTTAAAGGACAGGAGCTTTACTAGCTGAAAATGCCTCAAGGTGAATAAAGTCGGGCAGTTCAGAACAAAAATGTATCATTATAATTATTAATAAATAAATAAATTCTAAATATGATGTGTCACCCTAGATGATTAAAATCCCATGCATTAGATATTCATTTTAACTTTGCCTTCATACTTGTACGCTAAACAGAGGCACTATCAGAATCACTAAATTCAGCCATTCTAACAGAACCTACACTTTACTTTTATAATGTATATTGAAAGATGCATGATGGTATGCAGCTGAGTACTAAAAACCTGACAGTGCGCACTCCAGTTTAACCTTCAGCCCAATAAACTAGAGAACTACAAAGTGTTAGTTTAATGGCATGCCTGAGGAGCGGACTGATTTAATGTCTTTGTTCCCCACCAGCATGATAATAACAATAAAAGAAGGGTGATCCAATACTTTAGTTTTGGTCCTACAACCTTTGCGTGTCCAGTGTCAGGTTTTAAGTGCTTGCTTGAGGGAAACGGTTTACAAGCACAGAGACGTGAATTTGTCAGGTCCTGCTTGCATGACCCCATCCTGATGTAAATGCAACTACAGCTGGCTCTATTCCAAATGGCCAAAAACTGCTGCTAGCTGCCTCATCCAAAAACCCATAATACTCCCCCCACGAAATTACACTTCTCAGTTCTTCACTTAGCTGAATAGAGCTGTTATATTAGAGACACACAACCTAAAGACGAGAACATCTATTACTTTGTTGTCATCTTTCTGTATCTTTTATATCATTTATATCTTCACAACTCAATATATAAGCAGAGATTAAAAGTGAATATTAAAAAACTAAAACTAGTTGTTAAGCATGGTATACTCTATTTACTTTATTTGCAGTTTTTGTATTCTTGATCCTTTCAGTTTCTGATAGTTATGTGAATTTTGTGGATAAAAATGTTGCAGAAACGTACCTCATATGGTACGTTTCTGGTGGGAAAGCTTTCGCCAGAGTTTGTTTGTGTCTGTGTACCGAATGACTGAACTAATGACCTTTCCAAAAATCTTGCTCTAGGACTAAAACATATTTCAGTTTATTTTAACATTAAAAAATGTTGCATGCACTTTAAATGATTTATTGTTTTAACTTAAAAAGTAAGTAAACCGGCTGCCACAAAAATTAAAGCTTATTAAACTTCTAATAATTAGTGAACAGAACAAAAATCAATGCTACAATCTGTCATCATGTTATTTACGGAAGCCCTAAAGGGCCATAGATTTTTTTTCACTTTACTTTTACCTTTTTTACTTAATTTTTTGCATGATAACAAGATATTGTCATATTTATGCCATTAGCAAGACATAGCGAATTTTATCTTATTAAAACAATGTTTATGTTGTGACAATGACGTAAATAACTTAAGATCTAAAGAAAACATTCTTTGTGATAATTGTCTGTTGTCATGGACAACTGGAGTGAAATAGCATGCGAATCCACGGCCATTCAGGGCTTAAACAATTATTTGAAGTTCAACTAAATTTTTATTTTAAGGCAGCCAAGCTTACTTTTGTAAGTTAAAACACCGCATAATTCTTTTCACAGTGTGTGATGAAAGCCTTCAGCTTTGTCTTACAGTGTACATTACCACTATGATAACTGCTATCAATCATGAATTGAGATGAATATAATGCACACTGTGATCATACCCTGTGAATATGCAATTCCTCCACTGCCTCTAGGAGTCTTGTCTTAAATTCCAAAAGCTGTACTGAAATGATTCCACTGTCAGGTTCGTGAATAATTTCTGAGGATCTCAGTTCAACACGTTTCTCCTCAATCTGAAGGAAGACAAACAAAGACAGTATAATAAAGAGTGGTCATAATCATACTTTGCTATTCTAATGTATAGTATGTATAATCCTGTTCTGCCTGAGAAACATTTCTACATACCACAGACTCAAGATGCTGAGCTTCAATATCACTGCTTGGCTCCATGTGGCAGTGAACATACAATTTAATCAGATCAACTGTAAGATTATAGATAGGAAAGAACGGAAAATACACAAAATAACAGCTTAATTTTAAAAAGTCTCTTAAATAACCCATCATCAACAGTAGTATGAATGCAGCCTCAGCACCAATTTGGATGAACTTGAAACTCTCTAACCCATCAAAGTAAAAATGATGCCGGGCCAAGAACATAATAGGGGTCAGGGCTATAAAACTAAATGGACAGATTGCACTGTCATTGAGCTGGAATTACATAAGTTATTTAATTTGACCTGCAGTTGGTCCCCTGTCTCCCCACTGTACCTGACTTCAGAAGTGGGAGGTCTTCACTTTGCCTGACGCTGAGAGGCTTTTGTCCATTTAGCTGTTGCTGTTATCAATCATGTGCAGGAATTAAATGATCCTGTTAGAATTTGCTACTATCACAGATGACCGGGGGGCCAATGTCTTTATTTGCTTCTTCACTGATTCACTTCAACAGATATTAAACAATTTTATAAGCCATGAAAAGTAAAATTAAAAGGACACCATCCATAAAATCTGATAATTCCCTGCCTACAGCATGAAGTCTGTATTACCTCCTGTGAACTATTTCATAACGGGTGTTGTAATGAAGAAGGCAGTGGTCACTTCTGGTAGCTGAGAGCAGAATGGAAGTCTTTGAGAGTGCATCTGTGACCTGTAAGTTGATGCAACACCAGTTTAGTACTTTATACGTCAAAGTCAATTTGAGACATTGACCTGTGTAATACACATAACTGCTACTCTAGAACAAACCAGTACAGCCTAGAGAACTAAAACTTTATTTACTCCTATAGTAGACATCTTAACTGCATATGAATTTAAACTTTTTTGGCAAAATGAAATTTACTTGGTAAGGCTAATATAAACTAAAAACATGATAATTTATAATTTTGTAATATGTAATGGAAGTATAGTCTGTATCACAGGCCCCATTCAGATTTAGCATTTACAAATGTCTTGGGTAATACAATCAAAAGTGAACAGGGCTAAGTACAGGTGTGAACGGGGTCTTGGAGACGCATTGCAAGCCAGACGGTCAAATCATCTTTGGAAGTGGACAGGGACACATGATCTAATAACACAGTCATGTAAATGTAATGTGAATGTTAAAGCATCCTGATGCATGTCAAACAGCATCATAGCGCCGCCTAATCAACAGCATCATAACAGCAGATACAAAGCAACTGCTTTGATTAGATTCTCTCTTCATCTCTTCTCCCGTTTGTTGTATTAGTGTAAAGATTCCAAAGCTCAGACATGATCAGCTGTTATTCATGGAACAACATATTTGCAAAACAACCAGATTTCAAACTCTTCAGGATTACCACGTTTCATGTGGCAGTGGTTTAAAATTAACCCTACAGAAAATATAATGGGAGATGTTTAATCTATCAAAACTATATACCAAGCTCACAGTACAACAACATAAAAGTTATCATTTTAGGTAATGATAGTTAGGACACATGCGTTTTTAGGATGCACAGGCTTGTTGCAGGCTTGGCTGCATACGTGTGTAAAAGGACTGGTAATTGTCAGGCCCCCAGGCAAATTTGAATGGTCATTTCTGAGCTCTTCCTTTGCTGCTCAGTAAATTCTAAACAGGCTACTACACAGACAGCTACTGTATTCGCAGTTTTAACATTACCACATCCATCTCATATAAAATGTGAAGTGAAATGAGAAACAACTGTCCCACATGAGGGTTAAACTTCTGACCATGCTAACAACGAAACAAGTTGGTAAATGGGTACTAGCAACAACAAAAGCAATTTTCAATGGGCAATTCTTTGCCTTCACTGACTGAAATCCAAGGGGGTTTTATATACAAAACAGTGGCCCTTTAAAAAATACAAAATAACATTTTCATCTGGGGGGAATTCAATTCAAATTCGAGGTATTTTTCAAATGTTCTGCATAAATTAATTGTTAAGGTGTAAACAAAGTCATTCAGAACAGTTTGAAATGTGTAGAGAAACTTACTGAGTCAGAATTGTTCATAGTGGTGATGATAGGAACCAGACATCTGAGGAATTTAACGCCTCTAAAAGTTCTCTCACAGGAAAAATGTTACAAATCTGCTGCCTGATTCCTGAGACATTGTTTCATTATAGTTTTGCACATCTTTTAGAATCTGTTAATAGTGGATTAACCGATATTAACGTTACATATAAAAACTCAGAAGACATATGTATATTTACTGGTTGTTTTGGATAGTAAATAAAACAGCTATATTTGTGTTGCAGATGTCATAAACCCTGTGACGTCTGCAACGCAAATATCCCCACCACTGTAAAGAAATCTGAGTCTGTTTCTCTACAATGAACCATTTCACATGAAAACACTCTGAACTGATATGTTCACATGTCAACAACTGAATTATGCAGATATTTTTCAAAAATTAAAAGGTGCAAAACCATTTGGGGGCTTTTTGGTAGCGAAGTGACCCCAAGAAATTTTCTGCCAAAACATGCGGTCAGTGACATTACAATAACTACTCATGCAGTATGAGGATTGGGTCATGAACTTCAGTATCGGAGGCAAACACACTTCTTCTTCTTCTAGGGATGCACCGATATGGAAACTGTGGGCTGATGTCGATATCTGATATTTTTCATGTGAAAATCTGTCTATGCCAATACGTAAACATATGTACAATGTAGATATTGGTTCAGAAAACCTGGATTAGCGTTAGAGACACATTTGTCATTTATTTGTACAGGGTTGAAATGCATATGAAGTATTCTAAATATGATAGGAAGTATCTCTAAATGCATAGAAATGTACAGGGTTAAACATTTTAGCATGGTATCCCACTGTCGCCTAAACTCTTCCAGAGTACTATAAATATATCATTAAATATCAGTTTAAAATACTGGTCAAATAAAATCTGTCTGAGACTGATATGACTGTGATATGATTGTGCATCCCTACTGTCTTCTAAACTAACAAGGCAGAACATAGAAAACCGGATGATTCTGAATCAGATTTTGATTGGACATTAAACACAAAAATTAATTTTATTAAATTACACTACATTTCATCACTAAAATACTTTAAAAAAAATACAATTTTAAAAGAAAATAACGTAATGTTTTTATTTCATTCTTTTTGTTTGCTCTGATAACACTTGGGTTGTATTCACAAAGCATTTCCATTCAGTAGTGTTATTTTTGGACCAGTGTTTTTTTTAACCAAATGGTGTCGGAGCTCTGTAACTAAAAAGTGTACAAAATCTGATCTGGGATCCGCTGTCCTGTTTTGAGACGCTTTTTAAAAATGACTCATCTACTTATGTTTGACAGCTGCTCTAATTTTCAGTTTGTTATCCAATAAAATTTCATATTTAGTCAAAAAATGGTCTGAAGGTGGCATACACAATTTTACTCCACATACTGAGCTAACAAGGCAATTGTATGAATATGACTGGCTTGTACATTAAAAGGGACCTCCAACAATTTTTCAAAACTTCTGAATAACTCAGTCCTTGTGATGTAAACAAAGAACTTCAAAATGGTTTGATGTGAAATGGTTCATTGTAAAGAAACTTACAGACTACAGATTTCTTTACAGTGTTGGTGATAGAAACCAGGAGTCATGATGTCTAAAACACAAATACAGCCATTTTATTTAAAATACAAAACCACCAGTGAACCTGCACACATCTTCTGAGTTTTTATGAAATTTTGATGATGGTAAAATAGTCATGAATCTGAAAAAAAGTTTCTTTCTGCACTATTTTTGCATTACAACACTTTACGTGTACCCCTCCACCAAGAGCAGGCTAAAATAAATGGATTAAAATACATTTTAAGCCAAAGCATTATCACAATACTATCACAAAACAACGTGTCAGACATCAGGCAGCATATATGATATAATTAATAAAGGTCTGTGAGGAAACTTTAAACTCTTCAGACGTCTGGTTCCTATCACCACCACTGTGAACAATTCTGACTTGTCAAGTTTCTCTAGAACGGAGCATTTCACACCAAACCACTCTGAATAACTTTGTTTACATCTCAACCATTTAAATATTTAGAAGTTTTGAAAAATCAGTGGAGTTCATCTTTAACTAAAACTCGGGGTTTTGAAGTTCAGCCACGATTAGATTTGGGTCAGAGAAGCTCACAGATGGAGCCTAAAGCTAAAGCTAAGTCTTCTCCACAGCGCATTCATGAACCTGTTAGCTACCTCAGACTGTACAGGCTCTGACGATAAAATCCTAAAATGTGACGACAATGGCGACATTTTTAGCTAGAAGGCGATTAAATGACCCGAGTTAGCTTTACATAGTAAGTTAACTTACCAAGTATTGAAAATAATCTGCAGAAGACCTGAGGAGTTAGCTTAGCATAGTTAACGCTAACTTAGCTAGCGCTGAATCTCACAATACGATACTTCCTGCAGTTATTTTGTAATAACATAAACACATTTTAAGTACATTATAGGTTTCTCAGCACTTTTACTATCTTATAAGTAAGTTATCTTTGTAAAGGGGCTATAAAAATAATCTTCGAGTCGTTAGTTTCCTCAGAAAGCATTTAACTAACCGTACAGTATTTCGGGCGCGAGCTGGAAATTCGCGGGGTTGAGCTCAAATGCGGCGCGTTCTTGTTTTATCCACCCGTATTCCGACAAGCCCCGCCCACTGACGCACGACTCCGGTTTTCTGGACTCCTCGACTCCACTTAATTTAAAATCAACCTCTAGAGCCGCTGATAAAGGGATACAGCAGATATTAAACCATCCTAAATGTATATAACTTTTGAGTAGTTACATATCATTGTCATATGATGAAAATCTGTAGATTGTACTAGGTAACATCAGGTAGCTTGGACAAATGATTACAGCTGATCATTTTTTTCAACACATTTTACCATCAGAATTCAAATAATTACTGTAGTAATTACTGTAAAACAATATTAGCCAGTTAACCACATTCTGGAACAGCTGAATGATGT